GGATGTCGTCCCGGATATGGTTTTCTATACGGCTAGCACAAGCTATTTTCTCATGGGAAGAGTAAACAGGTTTACAGAAGCAGACAGCCATGTTAGGGGAAGGGAACAAAATGGACAAACAATTGTTCATGTACAAGATCTAATATGCAGCCTTCCACAGTACACATGAGTTTGAAACTTGGAGCTGGCCCAAGGTCTAAACTCAAGTTTAGGGACTAGCAGTTAGCGTAATGGCTATGTCGCTGGACTCCCACGTAGTTGACCACAGTTTGTGTCCCAGACCGAGTGACTTAAAGCTCACGCCGGGTGCATGTGCGTGTGTGCCCAAGATCCCGAGAGGAGAATGGAGGAGAAGGGATTGCGGCGTGACCATCCCCCCTGGGGGGTGATTTCTCGCTTTCTGTCTCTATGTCTCTCTCTCTCTGTCTGGCGAGCGCACGCGCCCTATAGCAAAAACCTCTCCCCCCCCAAAAAAAAAGTAAATTCAAGTGTACTTGAGGGGCCATGTAATGGCGCAGTGGTGACACAACTGGACCCACATGGGCAAGGTCTTGGGTTCGTGTCCTGGTACTTCCTTGAATACACTGTGCGTGTCTATGTTCCAGGTTATCTGAGGGGGTGGATCATGGCATCAGGACCCTGTTGGGGTGTCTGTTTCTCTCTCTCTCTCACAGAAGAAATAAATAAGTAAAAGGTTAAGAAAAAATAATAAAAGCCAGCTGATGGCATGGCAAAGGTGGCTGGATCACATATGGCTGACAACACAGTTCGAGTCCTAGATCTGGTGGCTTCTGAAACATGCTGAGCACATGTATATGAGCCTAAACAGTCTTGAGAGGAGAATGCAGAAGGGATTCTGGCACGACCAGCCCCCCTGGGGTGTGCTTCCTCGCATCTTTTCTCCTTGTGTCTCTCTTTGGTGAACACGCACACCCTCCTATACCAGATTTTTTTTTAATGAAGTATGGTTGAATTTGAAAGCTGGAGCAATTTTCTTAGCCTCTGGCAGCCTCAGTCCCCTTGAATATAAAATGGTGACAGTGACACCTGCTATAAGGGGCTAAGTGAGGCCTCCATACCCAACTCAGGGCTTGGGGCAGAGCAAGAGGTTTGAAAGCCAGTGCATGATGGGCGGCAACAGGTGGCGTGGCTAAGGAAAATGAGACCAGCGTTGGACGCAGTGAGCGTAGGGGGTTTGTGTGTGTCCCCGAGAGACATCCAGGGGCAGCTGGAGTCACGACGGAGTCCTTGGCTGGAAGGTGACCGCGGGAGTGGCCAGCACATATGGGAAGATGGGTTCGCAGTGGAGGGGAGGCCAAGCGTGTGGCCTGCATAGCCAGAGGGTCATCCAGAGGGAAGAGAAGCTCTTAAAGGAGGCTGGGAAGGAGAGGCAGAGGAGTAGGAGGAAACCCAGTGGCAACAGGTACCTAAGGAGACCGGGATGGGACGGTCAAGAGTGACCAGTCGGGCAGGGGCCTCAAAGAGGCCAAGTTAGCTGAAGCAGAGCTGTGTCAATGGAACATGGGGACTAGGGGGTCACCCATTGCATTTGGTGGGACCTGGTGTAAGAGGGGAGGGCAGCGTGGCAGTGGTGACTATGGACAACTGCAGAGAAATGCGGCTGAGCACAGGGGGAGAGAGTGGAGAGCCATGCTTGAGAAAAGGGTTGCAGGACGGAAGTTACCAATGCGAGAAGTCAGAGCCAGCATGCTCTCTGCGGGGAACAGGCTGGCGGTTAGTTATCGTACCCCCAGTGCTCAGCCTGGCATACAGGAGGAACGCAATACGAGTTTGTGATGGGTTTAGAACCTGGGTGGAGGGACTGGCCACTGGCAGGAAAGGGGACCTTCTGCCAGTGTGTAGGGGGAGGAGGAGTGATGGGGATGCCAGGCGTGAGCAACGTGCAGAGCAGGCCTCCCGGGGGCTCTGCTGCCTCTGAGCTGGACCACACAGGAAGGAAGAGCTGGTGAGAGCTCAGTTCCAGGAACTCCAGTGGAGTCAGAGGACACAGTGTGAAGACTGCCGAGACCACCGCTTGGCTCCTTTCACCCTGGTTTCTGTTCCTCTATCCTCAAATCCGCAGTCACATGGTCTTTATCCACTTTAGACCCGCACCCTCCCAGAAGGCCAGCAGATGGTGCCAGTGAGCTGCTAGGCTCTGCTGGAGCCACCTGGAGCCAGCTGCGGGCCCCTCTCTACCCCTGGTCCTCCAGAGCCTGGGGCATGCTAAGGATTGTGCCAACCAAGTTTCTGACCCAGGAGGCTGGGGAGGGTGGGGACGATGGACTATGGGACATTGCGAATTGAGAGCTTGGGGGTGGGGCGGCTTAGGGGCTCTGCTCCCTCTGGCCCTTCATTCCTCCGCCCTTCCAGCCCCTGCCTTATCTGCTGGGGCCCCTGCCCTCTGCCCCCCTTTCCTTCTCTTCCCTGGAGGCTCTTGCCAGTCCAGACTCCTGGTTCTGGCAGAAGCTGGTTCTCTGCCCCTAGGCAAGCACAACCTGGCACCAGGCCTCAGACAGGGCTGGGCCAGCCCCTCCCAGCTGTGACTGCCTCAACCACCTTCTAGCTCTAGAAGTCTCCATTTGATCTCATGAAAGGTAGGGGTTCTGCCGTTGAGGCGACAGCATGGCTTCTCGGACTAGGAAGTGGAACAAGTGTGCGTGGGGATGGGGGGGGGGTGTATAAAAATGTGGCAGATAGTCAAGTCCCACCAAGACCCAGTCCCACAGGCTCAGCCCAAAGTGGCACAGAATCCTAGAAGTTGAGCTGGAAACGCTCCCTGTTCCATCCGAGCTGCCCTGTGTGCAGCACCCAAAGGCAGTTCTCTGTATTCCTCCGAGCAAGTCTCCCCATCGCCCACTTCCTGATAAGTCAGGATCCTTCATGGTCCCTTCCCTGGACAGCATGAGATCCTGCCTCTCAGTGTCTGGCCTCACCTTGCTTTCCTGCCCTCATCCTACCCTTTTGTCCTATTTTGGCAAGCTGGTACTATCTGTGGCCTTGGACTAGAAAGCTCCCCAAGACCCCCACCTCCTTTCTAAGCCCCTTCACTGCACCCAAGGGCTAAGTCTGGACACAGCCAGACTCTCGGTGGAGTGGCTCGAGCTGGGAGTCAGGCCAATCCAGGCTCTACTGCTCAATTCAGGAAGCCAGTGAAGGGCGCTGTGTCCACCTCTGAGCCTGGGCCATGGCGTCAGGGCCACAGGAGTCAGCAGGTTTGGAAAAGGAATGTTTTCCTGCAGAGTAGGATGGCTCAGAGAGAGAGAGACTTGCCAGAAACACCCACAAATGTACACACACACACACACACACACACGCACGCAGGGTCATGGCCATAGGAAGTGACACAAACAAATGGCATAGATAAACTACCATGAGTACAGACTCAAGGTCACGTACCCAGAGCAGGCACATACACTCTCCCCAGGCAAGTCCTGCCTCCCAAGGCCAGGGCTAGCCTGTCCTTTGTGCTTACAGGAAGAGGGACAGGGGGAGGGAGGCACAGGAGTGGCTCTGAGTGGGAGACCGGTCCTCACCTAGAGCATCTCCTGAGTGGGTCTGGCTCCTAGTCCCCTGCCCACCAGGGGCCATGCCTGGGTGGAGGAATTCCATGAAGCCCTGGCCCAGAGCCTGGGTACCTAAGAGAGAGAGTGCAACGGGGCAGGAAATGCGACAAGGAGTCCCTGACCTCTGAGGGCCTAGAAGGGGTAGGGATGAGGCACTGGGACAAGCCTGGAGGCCCACAGGAAGCAGGGACTCCCTCTGCTGAGGGCCACACCTACTGCCCTCAGCATAGGGCCTGGCAGCCAGGTGTTGGCATCAACTCCCAGTGCCTGGCAGAGCCTTGGCATTGATGCTAGGCACGGGGTGCCAGACACGGGGGTGTGCAGGGTGGGGGCCGCCGGGCCACACACAAACACAGCCCTGCATACGCACAGGCAGGGAAAGGCACTCGAATCCACACTACTTGTTTATTTAATCCCCTGGGGACTCAGGGGAGCAGAACCTCCTTGTCCTTGAGGCTGCCCTTACTGACTCCCCAGGTGTTTTCATTAGCCTGGTTCTTGGGGTTACAGCCTGGCCTAGAGGTAATGGGAGGCCTAGAAGCTTCCTCCGACACCCCCTCACCTAACACACACACTTATATGACAGAAGGTGGGGCTGTGTGTCCCAGGGTTCTGCGCTGGAGGGAAGGAGGACGAGAGTTGCTCAGGTGTGCGAGTGCGTTAGTGCGCGTAATGCCAGGGCCCGCGGCTGCGCCGGGCGCGGGGGTGCAGCGCGTGTGCGTGCGGGCGGCGGCTGCAGCCCGGGTGAGGCCAGACTGGTGCTCCGCCGAATTCCTGCGCGCCCGGCGGCCGCAGCGATGTTATCGGCGTGGGGGCCTGGGTGCAGGCAGTCCGCGTCCTCAAGTCTCCCGAAGTGTGAGCTGAATGTGCTCACCTGGTAGAGGCAGCTCAGCGGCGTGGGCATGGGGGCGGGGTGCAGGGGTACGCGGGCCCGGGCACTGGGGCTGGCACCCCTGCCTCACTCCCCAGCGCAGCCCGCGACAAGGCGGGTCCTCTTAGCGCAGCAACTTTCAGACTTT